CCCCAAAACCCCAAAACCCCAAAACCCCATAAGCATGATTAATGAAATAAAAGAAGATAAATTATAGCAAATTATGATAAGTATTTGTTAAATTGGTCATGTGATTCTCGTATTAGCAAATTGAATTACATACCTGTAGTCTTCATAGATATAGAGACTTTCCCTCATCCACTTGGCTAAGCAAGTCTTTTTATACTTCAAGCAGCCAGAAACTGTAGAAGCCATAATCCAAAGCACAAAAATATCCGATACAAAGAATGAGAATAGTTGTGCTCCAAAGAAGACAATGACCCAAACATATTGATTTCTCATATCATAGTATTCTCCTGATATAAATACAGCCAATATAGAGATGAAGAGTCCAACATTGATTATCAATGCGATTGCATTGCCAAATATTATTCCAACGTAATTTTTCTCTTCTATTAGCTCTTTCTTATCATCAGTAAAAAGTTAAGTGTCAATACTATCTTAGTCACTAGCATCATCTTCATTCTGGGCTTCTTCTTGCTACTGCCTTGCTTACTAAGACTTTTCTTGAGTCTTGTCTTATGGATTGTTGCTCTTGCCTTTCTGTTTATCAGCACCAACCTTGCTATTTCTATTTTTAGGGGAGAATTCTAATTCTTCTTCTTCCCCACCCTCATTCATGAATTAGCGAATTCTTTCTTTATCATTATAGTCGTCATCTAAGTTTTCAACATCATCTTCTTGATCTTGAATCTCCAAAATGTCTAGGTTGTATGGATCTAGAATGTTCTGTTCAGTCTTATTATTTGATTGGTCTAATCTTTTGTGCTTTGATTTATTATTTGTAAACTTTAGCGGTCTGTTTGAATCAGGCTCCTAAATATTCTCTCTTTCACTAATATTTACATCTGTTTTGTACTTGTCAGCTCTATTGGCCTTAGCACCTTCTCTGCCAGATTTCAACCCAGAAAGCTGTCTAAGATTACTCTAAGTATGACTCTCAATATCATTGAGGTCTTTTGAATCAGTCTTATCTCTCTTTGAGGACTAGTCGATGACTACATTTGTTTTGGCATCCTTGTTATCATCGGTACTCTTTATCTCTTTTTCTTTTTCGATAAAGGGATCTAGCTCTGCAAGTTTTTTACCCACTTCATTTACATCTCCTGATATGTAGGGGTATTTTACCTCTTAGTCTTTTATTATATCTTCATTCTTGATTGCATTAATGATGAATAGGAGTCTAATTGGAATGCTTGTATCTATCATTATTTTTGTCACTCTATCAGGGGCACCTTAAAAAATACTTAAATCTCTGACACCGTTCGCATCATTGAATCCATCATCATCAGAAGCTTATCTTGAAACACCCTTTGGATCCAATAGCAAATACCTGGATCTACAACAGAATAATAAGAATATTGGCATCGGTACTAAAAGAAATGATCCTAAGAAAATCAAAATAATAATCTGAAGCACTACTATTCCAAAATCTGATTCTCCAGATAACTCATTAAAGTTCTTAACGTCCTTCAATATAAAGAAACTAAGAGCAAAAAGAATCATTATTCTTGTGAAAAGTAGAAGGAATCTATAGAACCTGGGTGTTTCTGGATCAAGTCTGTATTTAAGTTAGAATACTGGGTGCAAAAGCATTAGATATATCTTCAATAAGTTTAACATTCTCATTTTATCTGTGTTTGCGAACATCATATAGAAAACCTTCCTCTTAAATGTAAGTGAGATTAGTGATACTGAATCATCACTTTAGAGAGTATTACCTTAATCTTCTTCTTATTCATGTAAATATCTGAAATCTTGATTATCTTTATTGAAGGTATATATGGTTCCGACAACAAATAGCAAAATTACATATAAAAATACTATGAATGAAGTCCAGTTTCTGAAAGTCAAGTATACTAAAGGAATCTTCTGAGGTCTTACTAGGTAGTCATCGATAATAGAATAATAGGACATATGCTTGCAATAGCAATTTATGCTGCCGTTTTTACGACTAAATTCAACCGAACAAGATTTATTCTCCCAATAGGCATCTCCAGTTTATATATAACCACATGTAGTGACGTTTGGTAAGAACACAAATGGAGAGTACTCATATTTATAAGTAATTTTTATGTCTCTGACAATATTTTCAGCTGATAGGTAATTTCCTTTTTCATCTCTATAAGAAAAATACACACTAGATTTAGATGTAGCACTCTGATTCAAATAGTAATCACCAATAAACGGACTTAATTTGAAATTTATCACAGAAAATGATTGTCTAGAAGTAGGCTGAGTAGCATCAGAAAGCGGATAGACATAGCTAGTATACGAACCATCGGCGTACTGCTTAATCTAGTCTTTCTATTGATTAGCCATTCTAGAAAACTTTTATACTTAGAAGAAAAACGCTGAGTTGTTATAGTAAAACTCCTCGTTTTCATAAATTTTTGATGCTACAAATTATTCATAATCACCAAGGATGGATCGACACTTAATAGTTAAGTTGGCTAGAGAAGCATCCTTCATTGGTGGCTTGTCCATTAATGAAGTGGTAATGACACCTTAATCTAACAAACTTTTCAAGGCTGTGAAAACATTTTCGAATACTGAGAATAGCTGCTAATTAAAACTTGAATCATATAGTAAATGTTCTTAGCTGTCTTTGAAATCTCCATTAAATATCAGAGTGAGACTGTCGATCATTACATTTACTGCAGTTTTGTTGAATAATTTTGGATTAAATGTCAAAGTGCTAACGATCGTTACTGCTAGCTGAATAACAGACCTTCGTGATTATTCATCAGAATAGGTTTTGATATTTTTGGCATGACTTAGAAGTAGAGATGCTGATTTGTTCAAGTAATCTTGGAAATCTATGGTGCTGTTAACGATATTTTGATAGCTAGTCTAATTAAGAATCTCAGCTAAGACTAACAAACTTTGCTAGCTTTAAATAACATTTGTACTTTAAACTTTTTGTGAGGATTCAAATAGTTACTAGGCTCTAGTAACTATAGATGCATCATAGGTGTACGTCAAAGTCACACCAAGATTAGCGTAACCTATTCCTTAGTTGTTATCTATAACTTTCACTACGATTCTTCTAGTAGGGGGTAAAGCTGATATGAAATTGTTAGCAGTTGTGAGAGCTGAAATAGGAAGCAAAATGGAATCATTTTTAAAATCAGCGATGAAGAACTGATATCTAGCTGGACTGCTTGGAACATTCCATCCATTTGTTTAACATGATAAAATGTCTATATATGCTCTTCCACTTGTTCTATTACAACTAATTGAACCACTTTTTGGACTAACCGGCACAGTAACCAGATCAAATCTCTGCCATATTATTTGCTGTTGTTCAACATATACTATATTTCCTGTAACATTATATGTAGTGCCTTCATTTACACAAGATGAATTTAGCACGAATTACTTCCTGTTTGCTTCATTCAGATAGCATTTAGTATTTACCGACGGAGTAACATCCCATCTAATCTGCAATTTTTCCTCTGGCATATTGTTAATATTCATCTATAACGCAACTCTTTGCTCTTTATTAATTAATCTTGAGGCAACTGCTTATGTAGCATCTGGATTAACATCAAGCCAAGAGATTTAAACGGATGTAGAACTTGTCTTTGTGCCATCACCTTGGATAAAGTTGGTAGTTGCTGTAAGGGTCAAAGTCTAACCAGTCCAAAAAGGCAATTTATTGTTGGAATATAAATCATAATTGATGACCAACTGTGAAGACTAAGACCTGCAAATATTGTTTAAAGCCCCGGGGCATTGCCACTGTAATGTGTATGTCCTTTCTCCTGCTACTGAATCAGCGATGTTGTAGTACTCACCTGTATAATCAATGACAAGTTGTTAACCTTTTAGTACAGTATAGTAATTAGGCTTAAGTTTGAGAACTAACTTAGAAATATACCTACATGCATAAATCAAATAATACTCGATTGTATCAGAGTTATCATTTTAGTTTCTCCAAACACCCTTTATTCTAATATAAAAATACTCATTTAATGGCAAGTATCTTTATTAGGTTGATCTTAGAGTAAATTACTATAGATTCTTGTCATGATCTGAATTCAATAGAGTAATCTTATCACTGAAATCAATGTCTATAGTGAGTGAGTTTTTATCAAAAACATAGGACCCACACTAACTGAATTCATATTAGAAAACAGCATTATCGATTGATCTTCTAGAATCCATATCTTTATAGACAAGTGATTGCTTAGACACTTTATCAAATATATTCAAGCATTTTTACGTCTTTAAAGTCAGGGATATCTGCTATTACTCCATAGCTCTTTCCTTATCTTGGATTGTCAAAGTAATATCATACTTGCCTGGTGAATTTGAAACCTAATCCTGATGGAATACTAATTCAAAGTTATTCTTTTGAGGATTGAAAAATCCAGGAAAGATGTTTTGATTGGTAATATTTTAAACATTCATCCTGTCTAAGTTCCATGAAAAATTGAAATAATTAGTGGCCTCATCTCTAAGCAGATTGTTTCTATAAATAGTATAGAATGGAGAGACGATAAAATGAGTAGCATTTCTGATTACAAAAGCCTAAGCTCTCAATATACCTTCTCTATAACAATTTGAATCTGTATATGAACTTTTGTACATTCCTAGTGGACAAACAGTCAGACTTGTCTCAGACTACCATTTTATGTTATTAAGAGATATAGCTTTGGTCAGAGCTGAGTCAGCATAGTTGAGTTCAAATCCTTAATTAACTGCTTATCCAGTAAAGAGTTTGAAATAGGCAAGGAGGGAAGGTCTATCGTTAATTACATTTAGTTAATGGAATTGGAAATCTTTAATTTGCTAAGTAGTCCTGGCATATGACCAAAATCTTAATTCTGAATAATATGCATTTGATATTCCAGCTGATTGTATAGCTGGATTTCTGTTTAGGTATATATAGTATTCATACTTTGGAAGTTAAATGGCTATATTTTGTAGCTGATAGTAGACATAGTCTGAATCCATATCGAATAACACACCTTATACAATTTACGTATTAGCATTGACTATACATGAAATATGCATCCAACTCTTTTTGTCTGACTTATAGTCTAGATATTTAACACTTAATGTGCTATTTTTAGTATAAATTGGATAGCAAAATAAATCACCTGAACTTTCCTAGGCAATGACTGTGTATAGTTACTAAAATATATTATCTTATAGGGCAAACATAAAGGATTGTGTACTTATTTAGGCAGTTGGTTTTATCCAAAATTCAACTGTGTAAGTCCTAAGTTCATTAGACAAAACAAAGTTAGATGATACATAAGATAGCTGATTAACCATCAATAGCTTCTCTCTATTATCCCTGCATGTATATCCATCAAATGAATCAGCCTAGTTGACAGTTCCTATGGCATTTGAAGATCCATATTCCTTGTAGTACTATTTTTTGTACGTTATTTGATCTGAACTATCAATAGTCTATGTTCTTGCAGAATTAGCATAATTTGTAAAAGTTCCTCCGTTTGCTGCATAACTCCAAAATATGAAGTACATTAAACAATCAGTAGAACTTTCAGTTGAATTTTTCATAGCGAAAGGACCCCCTGAATTAGATGGGTTTTGAGTTTTGAAGTATTTGATACCCTGGATATAACCATTGAAGTTTCTTCCGATTAGAATAGTTCTGCTGCTAGATTTCAATGTAGGAAATGAATTATCAACCTGGCTTATCATGTTACCATCACTATCATAAATCTAAGATTTTTAAGAGTTTGTTGATGTCTATACTTAAAGATAGTACCATTTGTTAACCCCTATATTTTCAAGAGATATATCATAATTCTAGTATGTTAAGGGATCGATTCTTAAATTATAGTAGTTACTGAGTAAAAATCTAGCCCTAAGCACATTTGTATGCTCGAAAAGAGATTCATCATTGGACAAATCAGAAAATTGAATTTCGTTACTTCTTTTAAACCAAACTTGGAGTGTCGTATCAAAATTTTTACTAGTATCTAGCAAACCACTTGGAATATTATAGGTGCTCAAAGAAAAACTGGGGCTGAATTATAGAAAATCGATTAGGACATTCTCTTGAGGAAACCAACACCAAAAGTTCCCTCTGTAATCAATCTCTCTAGGGAGCTATTTTTGATTGCCAACTATAGTGCCAACTGCGAAATCAGCATCGTTTTTAAAATCATTAAGATCATTGAGTAATACCTGCATGATAAGCTGAGAATTAGGGATTATATAGATAAACTACGCATTCCATAACTAAGCATCAGTGTAATAGGCAGAGAATAGTTTGAAATTTCTAATGTTTCCTACAAACCCATCTGATCTACTGTCTTTGTCGATTCCCAAGTAGGTCTCTTAAACTGAAATTTGGGAATATCCAAATGGGAAGAATATGCTATATTTTTCTTAAGAAAAAACCACATTTTGAAGTTCTCTCAATTAAATGATGGAATCAGTCTATGACGATCTAATTGTGATAATGTACCAATTAAACAGCCTTATGCCAGCATCTATTTGATAGTAAGAGGGGGAAGAGCTGACATCAGGTTGACATAAAATTCTAGATCTAATGTTGAAATAGCATTGAAAACCTGGCTTTAAAGTCAGTATATCCATGTTTTTACCATAGTCAGTAGGATTCACTTGAAGTCTAATCCAGACTGAAAGAGAATAGCTATCTAGAGCTTACAAGTAATCTTTTACTTGAAGACCTGATTAACCTCCAAATCGTAAATAAGTGTTGTAATTATTCATTACTCCATCGAATACAGAAGTAGATGCTTGTCTTGCCTCAGTTGGTATAAGGATGGTTAGCAGCATCATTAGTAAGAGATGCAATGAGAGAGATACCTTTGAGAATTATGCTGGTCTGAAATCTCTTTAATTTTTCATATTTATCAAATTCAATTATTGCTATTTTATGCTCAACTTTAATTTAAGGGGTTTTGGGGTTTTGGGGTTTTGGGG